CGACCTGGTTTTTGGTAGCAGGAAGGCCTCAAAGATGGGAAGCTGCTGGAAGCTTCCCACCATGTCCAGCAGAGCCAGTCTTGATGGCACTGAAGATGGACATGCTGCTGGCCAAAACTGGCCCAATGAGAGAGGCTGGTAATGCCTCTGTGATGGCATATTTAAGAAGGAAATGAAAACAAAGTCAAAGGTGTTTCTGCTAGTCAGGGAAGAGGAGGAGGTGAGAACATGTGAGGGAAACAACATGGAGACACCAAAATCAATGCGGAAGGAGGGGCAGGAGCTGCTCCAGGTGCCAGAGCTGAGATTCCTCTGCAGGCTGTGGTGAGACCATGGTGAGGTAGCCTGTGAGGATCCACGGGGGATGCAGAGATCCCCCCACAGCCATGGGGATCCACAGGGATGCAGAGATCCCCCCACAGCCCATGGGGATCCACCGGAGATGCAGAGATCCCCCCACAGCCCATGGGAGAGGTGCCCATGCTGGAGCAGGTGATGCCTGGAGGAGGCTGTGATCCAGTGGGAGACCTGCCGGTGGAGAGAGGAGCCCCTGCTCCCAGGCTGGAGCAGCCTGTCCTTGGAGGACTGCACCCCATGGGAAGAGACCTTTCCCACAGCAGTTTTGGGAGGACTGTGTGCCTGTGGAAGGGATTTACGTTGCAGCAGGTGCAGTTTGGCTGCTGCTCGCAGGAAGTGGACCACAGTAGGAGTTCACGGAGAGCTGTCTCCCATGGGAGGAACTCCATGGTCTCGCGGGGAAGGACTCCTCTCCTGGAGCAGCAGAAGAAAATTTCTGTGATGACCTGACCAAACCCCCGTGCCCTGTGTCCCTGCACTCTCAACGGGAGAGAGGGAGGGGCTGGGGGGGAAAAAAGTGTTTCAAGGGCTTATTTTACTTTTCATTATCCTCCTCTGATTCTGTTAGTAATAAATGCACTTTGCAACCGTAAGCTGAGCTGTTTTGCCTTTGAAGTGTTTTTTTTTCTCCTGGTCCTTATCTCAACTCGTGAATCCTTCGCTAACTTTTTTCCTCGCCTCTGCCCAGCTGTGGCAGGGGAGGGTGAGAGAGTGACTCTTGTGGGTGCCTGGCATTGGGGCAGTGTCAAGCCGTGACAAAAGCATAATATAAACAGCTTTGATTTCACAGGCCCTTCATTTCTAGAAGGTTTTCTAAAAAAAAAAAAAAAAGAAAAAAAAAAAAAAGAAGGCATTTACAGCTAAGTTTGTTATTTCATCTCTTGTGCACTGTTGCCAGTGATAGTAAGAATGAAGAGGAATAAAATCTCATTTACGTTACTATTAAATCACAGTCAAATTAACTTTCTTCCTTTCAAATTGCTAAATAATTTGCATACCTGTAATAGAGAGAAGTTGGTTCTTGTGTTGAATCTTATTGAAGTGAGACAACTCATTTTTCCAGTAGTACTGCAGATAGTACAGATGAAAATATTTTAAAGTTTATATACCAAAATCTTGAATATTAGAAATGGCATATTTAATCAGAAGCACATGATTTAAGGAAAGATTATTATTTTAATAATATTCTTCAAAGTTAATTCTTTCAGCTGAGGGATTTGTCTACTTGAAAAGCTCAATGAATGGGCATGTTCGGAAGCCTTGAAATTTCCCTTAGCTCTGATCAAATTTTAAAAGGTTTGTCTGGCTTGTTTCCCTTTATCTACAGCTGACTAATGGATGTGCATGTTTTCTACCTGGACCTTATATAGCCTTTCTCCTAGGTGATATGGGTTTTCTCTTGCACCTGCTGTATGTTTACATCTCTCCTTGTCTTGCAGTTGCATGTCTTCCTCTTCAGTAGCACAGAAATGAGAACTGGTATGTTGACTTTAAGATTTACTCCTTCACTGATATTGGAATTTTTTTCCCTTTCTTTTAGGCATCTCTGCACTATGGTTCATGCTAGCATAAATGCCTGATAAATGACAGCAATATGTTGTTGGCATTTTCTTTGAGGGATGGGGAAAGCGACAGAAGTGCTGCCTCAGGGTCTTTCCCTATATGTTATTGAAAAGGTTAGAGGACAACTGATGTTCTTTTCATGATAATTCAGCACTGGATCTGAGATTACATATTCTGTCTTCAATACATTTGTTTGAATATATTTTTAATTGTTTTTAAAAATAGGTTGGTAGTAAGTGAAAAGAAAATACTAAAGTGTCTGTAATGCATTTGAAGATGAAGCCAAATTAAGAGAGCATAAAATTGCCCACAGGATACTTTGCTTGTATCTTTAGTATGTACCAACTCCTACTCATCACACTTGTAACTTTGAGACCTGGCCCTGTACAGAATGTGCCACACAGCTGTGATGTATAGATGTGTACACATCACATGCCTTACACATTCCTTTAGTACTAAAATGTGCTAAAATTAACCATAACTCTGACCTCAGTGAAAACCTCAGAGGCCTGTCAAAAGTTGTGCTATTTGTATTCTATGGTGCCATAGGCTCTCTCATAAGTCAACAAGGGAGGTAAATACAATAACTCACACATCATGTTTCAAGGGTTTTGATATATTGGCTTGTTCATTCAGAAGTGTCACTTCAAGGCAGTTGTGGACAAGCTGTGGGGTAATTTGGTGCATGCCCAGCCTGCATCTGCTAACACAGGCATGCTGGTCAGGAACCCCACCTCTTGCTATTGTATAACCAACTATGTGAGCTGAAATCTGTACCATTGATACGTCTTTAGCCAGATCTGTTTAAAACCTGAGATTTTTATCCTTCTGTTCTGAAGAATTTTATAGTAAATAGAAATGTTATCCTGTCATATTCTAATTAAAGTAATTTTCATTAATTTCATTACTTATTTTTATTAACCAGGGATAGTTAAAATCCTAATTATTGAACCCAGATGTATGAAGAAATGGGTCCCAGTGATTGGCTATATTACTAACAAACAGAGATCACTCACACTTAGAACTGTTCTGAATTTGACTTGAAGTTACACTGTAAATTGCTCTCTCTAAAACATTAATATTATTGGGTTTTTGTTGCTCTGACTTATAAGGCTTGATTGAGGCATATAAATATTCAGGTTTCACCACACTAAACACAGGCAACCCTTTGCTGGGTAGTTTTTGATCCTACTGTAATAAATAGAATCATTAATGAAGACAAATATCAGCATCCATACTCAGTCCTCGTCTCCACAGTACTCTTTTCCTGGTTGCTTTATCTATAACATATGCAAGTAACTGAAATCACTTTTGAGAAGCATTTCGAAGTATTTATGTTCCATGACCCTTTATGTATATAATAGCAGCCTCTCTGCTACCATCACTTCCCTTAAAGTGTGCAGCCTGCATTTCCATGTGCAAGTGGCCATTTTGCTGTAGAATTAGACACCCAGGGCTAAATGTGCATATTGTTGTGTATGGCTAGAGTTCGCTTGACACTTTTTGAAGTGTCAAGCTTTTCTGCTTTAGAGGAATTGTTCTAGGGTGTTAGTCTTCTTATAGGATGAAGAAGGGACCTTTCCAACATTTTAATGTATCTCTCTCCTTTTACACTGCTCGGTTGATAACGGAAGTATCTTTCTGCTTTGCACTCGGTTTTATCTTTCCAGTTTTTGGAGACTTTTTTTCTGCCCTACTCTTTGCAAGGAAGTAAGAAGTGTGACAGAAAGGTGTGATTTTTAATTTACACCAAAGTTCTCAACAAATAATGACTTTTCACACCCTGTTCTTGTTGCTTAGCCTGGGGGAGGAGTTGTATGGCTACTGTTGTCATATCAAATTAAACCCACTCATGTAATTCAGAAAGGCATTCCTCTTAAACTTAACCCTTCTAAGCTGCTGAAGTCGACAGGCATAAAAGTGTAAGCTGAAGAGGGTGTCTTTTGGAGGGTCTCTGCTGTTGATGGATGAAAATGTAAATGTTTTTATTCAAGGAGGTTTTTTGCTTTTGTTTTCTTTTGAGCACAAATGCTGATGAGGTTTGTGAGGGTGAATCCTCATGTTATCCTGGAGTTTGCTGCAGGCTCAGAGTATGGAAGGAAATGTTTGACCAGCAATGCCAGACACTCGTATACTTGTCTGAAAAACTGACTCCAATAATGTTGTTTCGCTGTGGATTGCAAGCATGGTCACAGAGCATTCGGTGCTCCTTTAGGCAGCAGAGCTAAAATACGCTAATAAGAAAATTCCCCTCAGAGAGAGTTTTCTGCTGCTGAGAAGTTTGCAGTGTGGAACAAGCTGTATCTTCATAAGTAATCTTCCTCTGGGGAGGTCTCTGGTGGTTTTGAGATGTGTTGCACCCCCTCTGTATCCAAGTGAGTCCTTCAGGCAGAGGGCACACGGTGTGTGCAGGATTCATCCAGAGGGTGGATGCACCCCTTCCAGCTGCCCCAGAGACTCTGCCTCCCCAGGGTGCCCACTGCATCCTCCCGGGTACCACTGGAGCCTGGACAAAGGAACCAGCAAATAACAGGAGGACCAGTCTCCTCCCTTTCGTCTTTATTGTCTCCAGCTGTTGGTGATTCAGGGTTAAATATTTGCTGGGTACCTGTCCTGTGAGGTGGTGCAGAGAGGGTTAAGGCGCTTGATTGACTGTAAGCATGGATGTGACAGACTCCAATCTGATGATAGGGTGGTTTGGGTTTTTTTTTTTCCTTCTGTAAAATGTCAGCCATTTCCTGATGAGCCTGATGGTGGTGGTGAATTTCACACCTTTTTTCTTCTCTGTGTGGAAACCTGGGTGTTAATGGTACTGGAGCAGGTTGTGTTTTATAAGGAATGAGACTGTCTCAGAACAGAGGGAAACCAGCAACGGGAGAGGAGGTGAGGAAAGTGATCCAAAGAAACTGCCACTTACAACAGGCATTAGCTGGATTATTTTGCAGAATTTTTATTCAGATCATGGAGATACGTTTATTTGCTAAGTGCATTTTTTTGTTATGAAATGTTGGAGTTTGGCTTAGAGTTCAGCACAAAAATAATCCTCTCTTTTCATTTCAGAGGCAAATTTAGCTTTGCAACAACTGAAGATGGAAAGTTGGTCAGTTGAGCAAGTCTGCAGCTGGTTGAAACAGAGAAATTTAGGAGAACTAGTTCCTAAGTTCCGTGGTAAGCATTTTTGTTGTTTGGGAGGGTGGTGTTGTTTGTTTAGTATTTCTTGCTATGCATTTAATTGGCACTGCCTACCTTGTTTTGGTTTGGGGCATGTGTATATATGCTAACCTCAGACTTTTATAGAAATATATTAGGGTGAGAACTGACATAGATCTGATAAAGCAACGTAAGTGCACAGATTTGTTACAAAATCGGAGAAATCCTGGGGACGAGTTTAAGCCTGTATATAAATAGAGATGCCTCAAATCAGAGCTGGCAGTTTAAAAGTCTTGACAGGGCCTATTTTATGTTGAATAAATCTTTTGAAATAATGCAAATGTAGTGTGTAAATGTTTTATGTCTGAGCATATAAACACTCTACAGAAGAGTGCACAAGAAACTGTTATGTGAACAGCCTATTTCTTGTGTACTCTGTTAAAAAGCTTGATTTCCTTCATCAGCAAGTAACAGCCTCCTGTGGTTCAAGCAAGGCCTGATTTAAAGCATAAAATAGTTCCCTCACTACTTCAGTGTGTTTCAGACTTGGCTTTTTGTCAGGGGAAGATATCTGGCCAGTGATCAGGACTCCTGGTACTGCTTGGGGAAGGATGGTGGCAGCTGAAGATGACTGTCAGCAGTACAAAGCATCTTCCCATTTGACCTGCCTTCCATCATCATATTTTTAGGCATATAGAATGTAACTATAAAGCTATTTTTACAGTAATTATTTTATGCTCTTCAATCTGCAGAAGAAGAAGTAAGTGGAGCAGCTCTTCTGGCTCTTAATGATCGTATGGTGCAACAGCTGGTGAAGAAGATTGGGCACCAGGCCGTGCTGATGGACCTGATTAAAAAATACCAGCAACAGAAGAGTGGGCTGGAATCCCTCACATGCTGTTGTGAAACAGCTTCTCAGAAATTTCCAGAAGTAATCAGTGGGTAAGTTTGTTCATGGCACAGCAAATATCAGCCTGGGTATAGTTGTATTCTTTTCATGGCATTTTAAAACTGGCATTTACTAGCTCTTCAGCTGTACCTGGATTTTATATTTTGAGTATCTGTAACAAATGTGAAATATAAAATTGGATTAATACCTTGTGGTTTTAAACAGGGCATCAACATTCCTGAACCATGCCATTAACTAATTTAACTTCCTTCCTAGCCAGTTCTAGGATCTAGTTTTCATTTGGATGAAGCACTGTCAAACTTCCATTATAGCTGAGATTTTCTCTGTTTGTAAGATTAAGCTTTTGAAGAACTTACTTTTAAATTCTTGCGAGCCTTGGAGTAAAATAATGATTTAGCCAGAGATAATATTTGTGTCACAGATGTATTGAAAGTCAGTTTGTCAAAGGAAACTCTTGGTCCGGATGTAAGCCTTCAATAATCCCACAGTCAGATTATTGAAATTTATTGTGAAACTAGGTAGATTTTTAGAAAACAGATTCTAGGGAGATTGTCCTCAATGATTGTGTTCTGACTCTTGGTTGAGCAGGTTTTCTTTGTTTGTTTGGGGTTTCTTATGGGAGGGAGGAGGGGGCAGAATTTGTGGGGTGTTTTTCATTGAAGGTATTTGGGTGAGGTGTCTCTTGATTCTCCCATCCTTTCCTTCCATTCTGATCTATTTTAAATCTTGCAGGGTTATGTTTTTCTGAATGCCTTGGCTAAGGAGAGAAATCCTGACCTCTAAGTGGTCCCTGCTAAACCCAAGAATCCTGGCTGCAGGGAATGGCTTGCCATGGATGCAAAATGCATTTTTTTCAAAGGAAAGGACTAGCACTAAGGCTGCATTAGTCACAGTAGGATTAATCCCAGAGGATTAGAACTGCAGAGCATTTGCCTTCATCCAAAAGGAGTCCAGGTTGTGCACTCTGAGGTGATTAACAGCCTAAACAAAAGCGTGTAAAGCAGTGATAACTGAGTTGCCTCCAAACAACTTGAGCTCAGGAGCAGAACTAAACTGCACAGAGAGGAAAATACATCCTCTCGTCCTTGTGGAAGTATTTGTGCAATTCCTTAGGTAAATGCTCCTGCACTATTGGAGAAAAGGGGATTTGCAGGAAGAAGACCAAGTCACTGCATGTAAGATTTATCATAGGCCTGAAATATGCAATCACAGCCAGTCTCAGTTCTCTGCACCAAGACCCTGCATATTTGATTCATAGGAAGCTCCTTTTTTAAGGGTAGAGATGTATAGGTCCTGTACTTCATCCAAAGTGTGGTGGATACACCATGACTTCAGAAGGGGGTTCAGAAGCAAACATGTCCGTATGTTTAAGGCAGTTAAAATGTTGCTTTGGATATTTAGCTTTCGTCTTTGACTTTGTCAGGGATGTTTGGATAGACTGTGCCTCAGGTGTGACTGTTTCCCATGGACTTCTCAGCTCTTGCAGGTCAAGCCATGCTGTCCCACAAAGATGATGCAGTTGCAGTAGCATGAGTGCAACAGTTTTGCTGTGAAGTTCTGCAAACTCCAAAAAATCAAAAATTAAATGCTTAAAATATGAAATGCTAGTGAATATAATTTACATTAAAATCTTTCCTTACCTAGTCTCCTTCCTGGAAAATAAGATGCTGGTGTCCTTCCATTTACAGGGAAGTTGAGTAAATAAGTTGCTATCCCTGAAATATTTTTTGTATCAGCAAGAACGACAGAATAAAACCAAGCAAGTTTAAGATCCATTATTTTAGGATGAGTAAAAAAGTCAATATATTCTGTGCATTTTGGGGTATAAAATTGTGGAAAAGCACCTGTAGTGAAAAGAGTATTTTGTTACAAAACTAAAAGTTGTATCCTTACATGCGGATAGCTGTGACTCTTAACACTGCAGTGCTTTTCTTAGTGATGTAGTTCAATATTATTTTTGTTCAGTGCATCTTGAACAAAATCCTGTAAAAAAATTCTTTTGATCTAGTTCAAGGACTCATGACTAAAGTGTATGAGACACTGTTTCGAACAAATGTAAAATTCATAGTTTTGATAGCTCACAATGTATGTGAACTCACGTTTCCTCCATTGCTCAGTGACATTAAGCTGAATTGCAGTGAGTAGAGAAACTGTGATAAGATCTGCAGTTAGTAGCATCCACAGCTGATTGTGTGGTCCCCCTGTGGTGCCAGAAAACAATGGTGAAAACTGAGTTTGCATGCTCCCAGCCCCCTGCATGCAGTGCTTGAGCCCAGGTGAAAACCAACCATCTTTTCTGATTTGCAGAATTATTTCTCAGTCAGGCCAGTTCCCAGAGCTCGCTCACCCTGCCAGGACCAGTGACAGGGTGGAGAGGGCATTGCTCAGGGCAGGGAAGAAAGCATGATCATCACAGTCTCTTTCTGAAGAGTTGAAGTCACTGTGGAGCTTCCAAGAGCTCTATTTCCCAGTTGTATTTCTCCATAAATGCTATTCCTAGTGTTTTTTGGTGCACTCCTGGCTGCAATGTCTTTACCCTGGTGTCCTTGGCTCATCTTCTGACTGTGTGTGAATTGTGCTGACCTCTCCTCCCTGACAGAAACAGAAACAAAGTCCTGGACATGAAATTTAGAGTGCAATAGGTGAACACTTACTGTGTGGAAGTAATAGATTTGTGAAAGGAAATCGAAAATGTGGCTTACATGTCCAGCAGTTTGGATTTAGCATCTTGTGTCTGTCATTGGTTCAGTGGAAGTGTTGTCAGTCACACAGTAGAAACTGGGCTTATGTATGAGGAGCCCACGCACAGACTTTAGCAGGTAAATACTAAGATGTGTTTCACTTTAACAATCAATTATTTCGAAGAGCCACACAGTATACTAAGGAGGTTTTTTTGTTTGTTTCATCTAACTGCATGGCTGAAATATATTCTTTCATGGAAAGAGAGGACCCCCCCTTAAAATTATGGTAAACTTTATTGTGATTTCCAATAGCAACTTTTTGTGTTGAGTGCAATTGAGGCTGGAACAGTTTCTAGAGCATTTTTAGGGTTTAGATATTCTGAAGAGATGAGGTTTAGGAGAAAAAAAACCCCTGTTTTATGATTGCCGTGAATTCTTGGCAGCATAACAGTATCCCTATCTTAGCTCTGCCTTTCCCTCAGTATGGGGTAAAACTGCTGATGTTGGCTTCCACCAACATATCTACCAAAACAAGATATAACAAGAGTATGAAGAGGGAGAGAAGTGAACACAAAGGTTAAATGGCAAGCAGTGATTTGGACTGGCTCATAGCAAAGTGGATATCTAGAATTTTTGTTGCTAGTGATGAGCTAGAGCTGGAGCAAATAGCCAGGAACAGTTGACTGTAAGACCAGGAAGCATTTGGAGATCTAGAATGGCAGGAGTAATGCAAAGCTGAATTGATCTTTTGACTTAATCTCCAGGAAAAAACAACTTTTCAAGATTCTAGTTAAATAGAAATGTATTGAAATGCTGTGTAATTAGCTCTTTCAGCTCACCCCTTGTATGTTGTAATGTTTTTCCCAGAAATAAGGAGGTGCCAGGTTATGAAGGTGGAGGTTACCCTGCAGCTCTGAGGAGCCTGATTTTCTTGGGATTTGTAACTGTGTAGTAATTAGAATATTACTACTAATATTAGAATATTAGCAGGCAGAACTTTCTACATTTTTCCTTTTAATTTGTGAGTTTGATAATTGAACTGAGAGGTTGATTAAGAGGTATAGCATATAATATTATGACATATTCAATATGTTAATTTTTCTCCCTTCCTGTTTCTGCCACTGGTATTTTAGAGCCTTAAACTTCCTCTTTTCTGTAAGCTACACAAGACCTGAGAGTGATTTTTTTTTTTTTAATTCTTTTTTCTTTCAGGGCTACTGACATACAGATGTTCAAATCTTCTGGTCCTGTGGAGCAGAAAAAATATCTGTGTTCGGCTAAAAATGCAAAAGGACTGATTGATCATAGAGTGCTAAAGCAAAAGTGAGTTTATAATATATTCATTAAATTTCCTTACCTTTTGAAAATTGCACACTTCTTGCTTCATTTATACTTTACAAAAAGTGATCTTAATTACTGTAGGTCAGGTTCAGGTATATCCAGGTGTATTTAGAAAACAACAAGAACAGAAATTTATTAGGATTTGACTGAATGAAATAGCCTGATGGTGTGATTCCATTCTCAGTCCTTGCTCATTGTTTCATAAATCTTGCAGAGGGCAAGATACAGATTTGTCTTTATTTATGTGATTTTTAAAAATTGTATTTTACAGATGCATTTTCAACAGCAATCTGACAAATTAGTCATTACAGAGTGGAATGTGACTATTCAATAAATTGTGTGCTGGAGGCATCTTAAATATAGCACTTGGGAAGGTAGACATGCTGATTCCATTTGCACACTCATTTTCCTTGGTTATCAAAATAAACCTGCCTAGAAACTGGAGGCAAGACAATGTGATGGGGGCTTTTTTCTTTTTCTCTTCCTATCCATGATTTTCTTCTTTGAGATGGGCAGTCACTGTTGAAAGAGAATCCTGTTCCTCTTTCAAGGCAATTATTTTCTTGTTTGCAAAGCTTTGTCTGCTTATCATTATCCCCCTTTATTTCTACCTGCTATAACTTCTCCCCCTGCTGTAGAGATGATTTAATGCTTTTAGAAGTCCTGGTACTTCAGTTTTTAAAAGAACATCCCAAAGATCCTTTCAGCATTGTCATCAAAGAAATAAATCCAAATCACTTGAACCCTTGGAATAAACCACCAATATGATCCTGCAATTTTTAGCCTGTGCTTCTAAAGGATGCTTATTTTAAATTGATTTGCCTTGGGCTGTATAAAGAGTTTTAAATGGGTTGTGTGAATCAGAGTAACCATTACACAATG